TCATACAAGTGGCCAAGGGGGACATATCTGGGCAGCACAAAGGCTCTGTTGGTTAATCTTCCACCTAAAGCGCCAGCATCTGATACAGGCATCAATTCATGTCCCAGCAGCTCCCATCCACTTCCCATCCAGTTTCCTGGCTGTGGCCTCAGAAAGCAGCAGAGAATGGCCTAAAGTCTTGGGACCCTGCCACTACGTAGGAGACCTGGAAGAAGCTCCTGGCCCTGGGGCTCCAAATTAGCTCAGCTCTGGCTGCTGCACCCATTTGATGAGTGAACCAGCACACGGATGATCTTTCTCCGTCTTTCCTTCTCTCTGTAAATCTGCTTTTCCAATAAAAATTTTAAAATCTTAAAAAAGGACACATCTGGAAAATGGATTTTTCAATGGGATTTTACATGGGTGAATCGCCATCCAATGCCTTCTTATCCATTGGTGAACCTCTCCATCTATGAAAACCAGCCCTTTTTGAAAGTTGGTATTCTAAAAAGAAGAAAAAAAAAAACTAATGAGAAAGAATTAAGAAGGGGTTGGTTGGCAGAAAAAAAAAACTAATGAGAAAGAATTAAGAAGGGGTTGGTTGGCAGAAAAAAAAACTAATGAGAAAGAATTAAGAAGGGGTTGGTTGGCAGAAAAAAAAAAAACAGAAGAAAATATTAATGACATGTCCACTGTGATATCTTGAAGATACAGCATTTGGGAAAAGAATGGCAAACTTAGGATGGCCAAAAGATGTTTGTTTAAAACAAACAAAACCTCAGGGGGCTGGTACAGTAGCTCAACAATCTGATCTTCCACCTGCCAGTGCGAGCAACCCATCTGGGCACCAGCTCCTGTCTTGGCTGCCCCACTTCTCATCCAGCTCCTTGCTTGTCTGTGGCCTGGGAAAGTAGTGGAGGACAGCCCAGAGCCTTGGAATCCCACACCCACGTGGGAGACCTGAAAGAGGCCCCTGGCTTCTGGCTTCGGATTTGTTGTGGCCATTTGGGGAGTGAGACAGTTGATGAAAAATCTCTCTATATAACTTTTACTTTCAAATAAACATAAAGAAATCTTTTTTTTTTTAGGAAAAAAAATAGTAGCTTCTTGGATGCCAGACACTGTGTTAAACAGTGTATCTGCCTTATCTCCCTTAATGCCAGCAACCTTAAGGGGCAAGCTCATTATTACACTCGTATCACACAGGAGAAAACTGAGATTTAGAGGAGCAAAATATCTGGCCTACCATTTGAAAAATACTGAGTGGCAGACTGCCAATTCATGCGCTCTGAACTAGTCTGTGCTACAGCCCTTCAACAATGAACACAGGCAACTGTTGCCTGCGAGCAGTCTTCAAAAAGGTCACCGAAACGCATGGTACAGGAAAAGAAATACTACCCATGGAGTTTACAGTTTTCTACTCCCCCACTCCAAATAAACCTTTTAATTCTATGCTTTCCACAGTCTTGTGAAGTACTCTCCTGCACGAATCCATATTCCACTGGAGACATTAACAGAAACTTCTTAAGTTCATTTCACAACTCTCAGTAAAAGCACTTCTCCCACCGAGCCTTTGCATATGTTTTAAGTTCTTTTAAATGTGTCACAGCTGAGGAAGGCTAGAGCTCTGCATGGGTTTTTCAATCAATTCAGGTCTGTACATGCTGACTCAGGAAAAATTGGACAAGCAAGGACACACACCACTTCCACCCGTAGGCTATACTCAATTAGCAGGTAAGGCTCAGGCCCCTGTGCTGGGAGGCAGTCGAACAGCAGTTGTGCAATAATGAGAAATGTTTAACGTGTCTTGTTGTGACAAGCAACATTTGAGATGACTTTAGCGCTCTAAGTTTTGACTGATTTCTTATCTGATTTTCATATTCAAGACAAGGAATGCATATCATAATTAAACTTTGAAATTAAAATGTTCTCATGTTCTTCCAGCTTTCCTGATTGGCCAGAAATAGGCTTAGCCAGAGATTGCAAATCAAGTTGGAAATCCACATCTGTCCTTTGCAATTATTTATCCATGTGAACTAGGACTTTCTGGACACTCTGCAACCAAAATAACATACAGAAATGAACTCTGTGCTTTGATGTCAGGTTCCAAAAATCTTTCATGAAATGGCAGTATGCATAAAAACAGCTTCATTTTCCTAATTGCTCTGTTACAGTAGTTTTTTCTCTGCTCAACAAAAACTTTAAAGCAACCATTCTAAAGCCAGCTAGTTCTCTGTGTTCAAATAAGTATGTGTCCGTAGTTGCAGGACTGTGATAGGTGAGAGTGTAGGCACTCAGCATAAACTCAAACAAAGGACAAAAGGTTCTAGCACAAGCCCCTGTGAGGTGAGTGGAGAGCGATTTGTAAACATGGCTTTTCCACACTTGGTGGCTCCTGGGTAATTCATGTGATAGCTAACGAATTAATCAACACTTAAAGCCTCAGTCCTACCTTTGTGACAATATGACAGATTCAATTGTTTTGGACCAGGGGTTAAAATTAAGTCCAAGAATTCGTTTCAGAAATGTGTAAATAAAACAGGGCAGCACTTTGTAAAGAAATATACAGTAACACAAATGGATAAACAAGACGTAATGTTTCCCTCTATGGTGAAACAGAATTGCTTCAGAAAAAAAAAAAATGTGAGTCTATACCTCAAGTTATTTGCTAGCATTTTTGGTTAGATAGCTTAATGGCAAATTTTGTGACAGCCATCACCTCAGAACATAGTGAGTTTTTAAAGTATCAAAACACCCTTCTGAATGCAGTTTAATTAAGTGGTCACAATTCAATGTTTTGTCTCCATGTGATATCCTGAAACACAGGGTGGGGGATGGGTGGAGGGGGCACAGTGTATTCATGTTTTCACTCAAAATTAACAACTGCATCATTTAGATTTCAAGTTTTCACAGCCCACTAGTATGGTATTAACTAACATTCATTGACTTGCTTATTTGCTAGGTGGTTAATGTATATGTTCTCCTTCATAATCACATCACTGGAAACACTAGCTGTCTCACACGCGGAAACCAAGACTCACTAAAGTTAAATATCTGCCATGAACACAAAGCCACTGTGTGATCAATACAGAATTTGACCGTGACTCTGGACTGCAGTCTCTGTGCTCTGCCCAGCACACCAGATTGCCTCTCAATAACATATAAGACGTCTGGCGAGGGCTTAGCACCTAGCTGCGGTGCAACAAAAGTTAACCTTATTGTCCCCCTAAATGATCAGATAATAACATTCCACTTAACAGAAGCGGAATGCAAATGGTCTAAACAGGCGCTCTCTAATTAAATACTCTTCAATTACAAATCATGCAGGCAAATGAATCTCATTTAGAGAAGCCAAAGGCAAACCCTGGGATTTAAACATCCCACAAACCTGCAAAGACCTTAACATTTGGCGAGCCTTAATTCCATTTTTTACTAGCTTCTAAGAAAAATAAAAAAAGAACTTCACTATGATCAGTGAATTATCAACACAAAACCTAAGAATCACGGGATTTCTGCATTGGAAAGGATCCCAAAGCTTACCTCCTGCACTGCTGCCTCCACACACTTGCCAGCTTGGCTTCCATCCCCTACCTCCATACCACCAATTCACAGGTGACTTGGACAAGGTCACCAAGCTGATAGAGGCAAAGCAGGGACTCCAAAGAACTCAAATGCCCCAACTTCCAGCTCAGTGCCCTTTCCCATCAAGCCACTCTGCCATTCGACGCAAGCGTTTTCTGGCCAGGGCCAGTTATATTGTGTTAAGCAAAATACTGAAACGCCAGCAGCTAAATAAGCAGATCCGGTTCTCCAGGGTCTCCTCCACGGCTAACCCATACCAGTTAACTCTTAGTAAGAGCTGAAGGCAGGTAACATGCTATATACTCCAACTGTCCTTGAAGATGCTTGCATTTTATCCTCAAGGCAAAGCTTTCATCTAAAAGGTTTTAAAAAGTTCTCACGTTTCATTCCCGTTTGCATTCATTCCTGTTTGGACCGGTGAGAGAATTCCGACTCAAAAGACTTCAAAGTTGCCACCCAAGGTCACAGTACTAGCAAGAAATTTGAGTCAAGGTCTGAGTTGAGGCCCCATTCTAAGCGGTTAGGGCATACCGCTCTTACATTTCTCTTTCCTTTCCTCACTTCGCAGTCCCCCAAAGTAACTTTTTTCTTTGAATCCTACGGGAACTATATGGGGATGGTACAGATACCTAATCACACACCAGATTCTAGGATAGCTTGGCAGAAGACAGGTGGTGGGGAGAGAAACCCACACTAGCTCCACAAACGTAACAACTCCCTGGACTGGTTTTTCTGAAGTCTAGACCTTCGTTAATTCTCTTGCATAAACTTCTTGTTCTTCAATAACGTAATTACCTGTTTGGAAACTCCACTCAACTGAAACAGAATTTTCAGAGGACAACCCAAATAAACAAACAAACAAACAACACTGGTACCAACTATCACTTGGGGCCTGAGATCCCTAGGCAGAGAGGAACCCAGCAGCTTCACAAAGTTTCCACCAAAATTTGCAAGGAGGTTAGCAGGGCACTGAAACGCAATCTGGCACATGATACCCAGGAAACATGGAGAGAAAAATAGGGGAGAAGGGGACGCTGTCGACCTGAGGTGTTACCCCCTCCCCCCCCACCACCACCAAGGCATTTTCAGGTGATCCTCCCCACCGCTTCATGGGAGGTAAGGTACCTTTGGGAAACACCTGGAAAAGCAGCCGAGGCTGAGGGGGTGAGGGGGTGGGGGTAACAAAAGCCCCAAAGAGCTCTCGGTTTGCCAGCCTCTACAGCCGTTTTGCCTTCTCCTTTCGCAAATACTGGATTCTTTTTCCCGCCCAGCCCCCCGCCCCCCACAAGTCTGAAGACTCTGGAGAAGGACCCTGCTCCAGCGAAGTCGGGACAGAAAGGGTCCTCGCTTCCTCTGGGTAGAAGGAAGAGGGCACTGAAGCAGAGAAACTCATCATGGCAGAGACGTAGCGGGCTACAATTTTTAGTAGATGCACTCACCCGGGTGAGACATGGGGATGACCTCATTGCGGGTCCCTGGGAAGTTAAAGATGACAGCTCCGGACGCCCCTCTCTCAGAAGCCAGGTGGATTTTGTCGGCGAAGGTGCAACCCCCGCCGCGTTGGATGAGTGCCAACCAAGAGACTTGCACGGCGCTTCCCCAAACCGTGGGCACCGTGAAATTCGTGTGCGGGTTACAGGCGTTGAGAGCCCCGGGACCGTCGGGAGGTACCAGGACCCCCGCCACGGGTTCCAGCGGCGAGTCCTGGCCATACACGCCTTCCTCGCTCAGCTCCCACACCGTGCGGTTCACTCCGGGTTGCGGAACCCGCCAGGACACGTTGAGGTACGCGGTCCACACTGCTTCAGCCCCTCGGGAGCCGGGAGCCTGCGGGCTCAGCGCCAGCAAGAAACACCACGCCAGGAAACGGGAAGAACCGCAGCCACCGCGGCTGGAGACCCCGGCCCCAGGTGGCGGCCCCATGGCGCGCTTGCGAGCCCTATTTTCCCTAGGGCCCCTGGAACGCCCGGAGCGAGCACTTGGCAAGACCGGGGCCTGGAGCAGGTGTGTTCCAGGTGGGGAGGGGGCGGAGAGAGCCAGGGCGGGGGGGGGAGGGGAAGGGGAAGGGGCGGAGGGGGGCGCGGCTAGCTCGGTCGGAGCCCGGGAGCACGCAGCGTGGGCCGAGAGGTTGCGGCAGATGCAGCTGCTGGGAGCTCGCGTTCCTCTCTGCTACAGCTGCTGCCGCGTCGGGTTCTGGGGCTTACAGCGGGAAGCTCCGCCCAACCCGCTGGGGGTAGAGGTGGCTGGGAGGGAGTAAAGGACACTGCGGGATCCGCCTCTTAAAAGGGTAACAGGATGGGAAAGCTTGAGCGGCGATCGGGTGGACAGGTGTGACACGTCGTGTTTTGAAAATAATTAGATAAAATAGATAAGCTAATGAATTAAAAAGTCCGGTCTAGGAGGGAGAAGACTCCACGAACGGACACCGCTTCCTGGTAGCGTGGGAGGTCGGGTGGAAGTGCACGAACACACTGCCCGCTGCCAACGTTGGCCTAAAGGACATAGCGGGCCGACAGTGCCAGAAATGTGAAAGTACTAGTAAAACGTGCAGATCCCGAGAGTCTACGCTGTAGACGGGCAAGCTGGGGCGGGTGGGTGGTGCTGGGGGCCAGTCGTTCACTGCTTTTTAGAGAAGGGGCAGGAAGGGCACGTCGTCCCCGCCCCCCAACCTTTTTTTTTTTTTTTTTTTTTTTTTTTTTGCTGGCTTTAAATGGCACCTTTCTTCCCTCCTGTTCCCAACAAGCGTCATACGTGTGTATGCATTTCCTTCCTACCCTTAACCTCAGGCTAAATATACTACATGGATTGCCTCTTCTAAAAACAATCGTAGTTCTCACGAAATAATTACTGTTCCTCACGCCACCTACAAACCATCCCACCCCCCTTTTTTCCCTTCACCTTCCACAAACCAGGTTTACCCAAACAGATATGCCTGCGCCGCTCAAGACCTTAACTGCAGAATCTGAAAGCAGCTGGCCTCACCCAGGCAATTCACTTATGCCATTATTGCATTCTTATTTATCCTGACTTAAGTGTAAAATTTTTGCCTACCTTGTCAACTATTACGTTTATAGGTGCTCAAGAAATATGCACTGAATTAGCCTGCTAGTTAGGAATAACTTTTGACCTTGGAGAACTTATTTGTCTGGGCCCCTGTTTCCTCATTATGTTCACACTGCGGATAATAATAGCACCTGCCTCATAGAGTTGCTTAGATTGAATAAATGGGTTCACATATGCAAAGCATTTACAGCAGTACTTGAGTGTAAAGAATACGTGCTGAATACATCACTATTGTGATTAAACAGATTAAAAAACAAAGTAAGTCTAAAATAATGTTGCTACTTTGAGGATTTTAAGAATTGGAGAACATGATATTTCAAGACATTTAGTCTTGGCTACATTTTAAATTCTAGCAAATACAATCCACTTTAACCAGCCTAACATTTGTTAAATTCCAAGTTTCAAGCGCTAGCAATATGGTATTGTGGCTTAGGGAGAAAAGCCACCACCCCAACTTGCGACATTAGCTTTCTGTATGCAGGCCAGGTTGAGTCCCTGCACTTCTGATCCAGCTCCCTACTAGTGTACCTGGGAAAGCAGCAGAGAATGGCCCAGGTCATGGGCCTCTGCATTCATGTGAGAGATCCAAGGAAGCTCCTGGCCCAGCTTCAGCTGTTGTGGTTAGCTAGGAAGTTAGCCAACTGGTGAAATGTATCTCTCGTAACAGTGCCTTTCAAATAAATGAAAATAAATGTTTTAAAAATAATCCCGGTCTCTCCCTCCCCTCTATTCTTAATAATATTTACTTAATATTATTCCAAAAGATTGAACATGGGAACACCTTGCAGTTGCTACTCTCATGGTTTGAAACCTAGAGGAAAATTAATTTCATATACCTAGTATTTAGATTAAAAGTAAATGAAGAATTATGAGACATCAACCTAAGACATTGAAAGGGACTTTAAAGGTTAAAGGAATGTATAGGGCCTATAAAATAATATCCTCAAATCTTGGTGATAATCTTTGAAATTAAAATTATTAGGGGGGGAAGAAATGGGTAATACCAAGCATTCCTAAGCAATGCTACATTCCAGAAACTATATAAAATGTATTGCTGAAAAACACACAAAATTCAGTCAATATTGCTAAATGGAGGTTAGCTATATTGTGCCTTGAAGAATTTGCCCAAAAGAAATCAAGTATTTTACCAGTTACATACATAACTGAAGTTTGGGGAGAGAGTAATATTTATCCAATCGTTATTTTCATGAGCAAGCATTTGTTACACATTTACTATCTATCACGGTCTAAGCATTGGGGTATCAAAGCAGATAGAGTATTAACTTGACTTTTAAAAACTTATAAGTTAACTTTGATGAAAAAGACGAAATGATTATTTTAGTATAGACATGAACATAGTGTAAGGGGTGCAATCAAAGTGAGTAAAGGGAAGTAATGAAGGAATGCAAAAGGGGCACATAACCCAAACTGGGAAATAAGGGAAAGCTTCCCAGAGCTTTCACCTGTGCTAAAGGCACAGAATAATACAGTGAAGAGGATTCTCTTTCCTTCCCTCTCTCCCTCCCTCCCTTTAAGAAAAAATAATTCTTTACAAACACAATGAAAGTCATTGAGATAGAAAATATAAAATGTTGGGAAACTAGATTTCCTACCATCCCTGCAAGTGCAAAATGTTTGGAACTTAGACTATAAGTAATACAGTTGATGAGGAACATGGGAACTGGTTACTGAAAGTTGTCTGGGTAAACCTGGGAAGTTTGAACTGTAGCCCAAAACAGTGTAATACAGCCAAGGCTAAATGTGGAACAATATAATGAGACCTGAATTTTAAGAGGCCATTATGGCTTCTCTGTAGATAATAGATTGTAGGGGACAAAAGGAACAGCAAGGAACCCAGGTAGAAGCTTGTCAGCAGTGTTCCAGGTGAGAGGACAAGGTGTTCAGTGCTAGACGGGTAGTGTGGGTGAGAAGTGGAGAAAATGGAGAAAGGGAGAATTACAGAGAGAGAGAGAGAGACAGAATCTTCCATTCGCTGGTTTACTGCCCCAGGTGGCCACAATGGCCAGTGTTGAGTCAGCCTGTAGTCAGAATCTTCTTCCACTGTCCCACATGAATGCAGGAGCCCAGGCACTTGGATCATCCTCTGCTGCTTTCCCAGGCCACTAGCAAGGAGCTGGTCCTCAGAAGAGGAGCAGCCGGGACTCAAAATGGCATCTATATGGGATGCCATATCTCAGGTGATGGCTTTACCGTCCATGCCACCATACTTGCCCTGAGAATCAAATGCATTTGAAGGTAGAATCAATAAGATATAGTTTGGTGTATGAAAGACGGAGGAGTTGGGGATTGCTTTGGGGATTTTGACTTAGAAGACAGGATGACATTTGATTAGGAAATACAGGAAGAGGATTTGAAACTAAGGATGAGTGGGCTTTAGATGTGTTCATGTTGAGGAGCCTATGATGTAGCTGACAACTGTGCAGTAGACACTCAGATTTTCTCATAATTGAACATCTACTAAGTGCAAGGCACTAGAGAGGCCTGCGTATGTAGACATGAAAGAGTCCCTCCTCTCACTTGATCTTGACCAAAAGGCGAAGAAGCCATAGGATCCCTGCACTCTGAGCTCAACATCCAGTGGGACAGTCAGAAAGGTAAACAGCAATGACACTGCAGTGTGATCAATGTTATTACTGCGAAAAGCATTGGCTGCTATGGTAACATGGGTGTGGCTAAATTAAGAACTAGGAGATTTACTGAGGCGAAGCGAGTATAAGGGTATCAGGTGTAGGCAACAGTCTTGTAACAGCACACCAGGAGACATTCACAGAATTAACATTCATCAGTTAGGTATGGCTGGGACCTAAGTCACAAATCAGGGGAAGTGGCACTAGTTAAGTAGGTTGTACCAGAACACAAAGAATTTAGAAAACTATGATAGAGTGTGTACTCTACATATTTTCATACTTGTACATGGATACACACATACAAGAAGCAAACATGCCAATTGATAACTATTATTGAGTCTAGGCGATGGGTGTAGGGGTGCTCTAGGTTCATCTGTATTTTTTAAACCGGTTGTAAAACTATGAAATTATATTCGAGTCTGTGGAGCAAACAAATGGTCTCATCAGATATGGGCTTACATAGATCATTAGCATGACATGAGGGTAAAACTGGTGACAGAGAGACTGGGGAGAGGCTAACATCCACAGAACTGTTCTGGAGCTCGGGCCCTGTTATGGAATGGAGGTAGCAGACTATCATAACTTAATGATGTGAACCATTAAAGTCATCCAATGAGTCCATCCTCACCAAGCAACCCTCTGATTATCATTTAGCTCCACATGGAAATAGGCCTACAGGGAGATAATACACCGAACAGCAAACAGTATCTGGTCGGTTTGGAAGTTAGAATTCTCATTATAAATTCATCAACTAGCATTCTGGCGTATATATTGGTCTCTTGTGAATGCGGTTAAGTGTGACTCAGTCTCCAAGAACACAGTCTCTGGTTATACTACTGATCAAATCTCAAAGCTTACAAAACTTAAAAGCTTAGAAAACTAAGAATCAGATTATGGATCAACATTGCATCAGGGCCTGGTGCAATGGCTTAGTAGCTAAAAAAAAAGGTTCTCATCCCGGCGGCCCTGCTTCCCATCCAGCTCCCTGCTTGTAGCCTGGAAAAGCAGCTGAGGATGGCCCAAAGCTTTGGGACCCTGCACCTGTGTGGGAGACCCAGAAGAGCTCCTGGCTTAGGATTGGCTCAGTTCCAGCCATTGCGCTTACTTGGGTAGCGAATCAATGGATGGAAGATCTTCCTCTCTGTCTCTCCTCCTCTCTGTATATCTGACTGTCCAATAAAAATAAATCTTAAAAAAAGAATAATAACAACAAAAAATGACTGCATCAAAGTCCTTCCACTTGAAGATGTGCCTGTATCACTCACTGGCTTCCCCCAGTTGGATCCTCTCTCTCACCA